TCCTACCTCGGACACGGAAGGCGTGGGTTGCTCGGCAAACGGATTTACTCGCTCCTGTCCTTTTGACAGTGGCTTCTAATGACTTGTATTCATTGCCTCAACTGAACAACTCCAATTAAGTATTTTCTTGTGGTAGTGGTGTTTAAAATGAAGCGAGAGGACAAAATGCCATTTACCATGCCATTTATGACCAAGTTGACGATTTCACGTACGCTAGCCAATCCAGAGTTCGCAAAACGTATAAATTACTCAGCTCTGCCGGTTGTATGGTCATTGGTTCTTTTAGGCAACGAGGTGGATTAAAAATCCTGGACGATGGGCTATACAGAGTGCGGACACCAGCACAAGAGAACGAGGACGAGTCTTATCGCCTTTTCCACTCACTAAGGTATAAATCAAACTTTGTGCGTGGAATTCCAATGTTTTTGATTGATCTATTAGATTCAGTTTCCATGATATACTCGGGAAGCACAGCGTATGAACACATTTAGATGAAGCAGTGAATGCGCGTGAAACTCAAGTTGGATGGGTGGCTCATCACTACCAATTTTCTTTTCACTCTGAAGCTCTCATCATGGGACTCTCGAGTTTGAAATGAACTTCCTTAGATTTTTTCATTCACGGAACAAAGCCAAAAAACGACTCACGGAAGTGAAAGGTTATACTAAACGAAAGCTGAAACTCGTTATGTTTTCGCGATTTGGTGGTCATTCGACACTTTGCTTTGCCGACTAAAAGCACACTTCAGTCTCATCATCTCGTCTTTTGTAGTCCAAAGCTAAGCGTGCATCTGAACTTTTACCGTCGTTAAACATCGCGACCTGCTCTCGTTTCTCCTTAAAGAGTCTCTCCACTGGTTAATTCTGGTATATTACGGCATTAGCTTGAAGGTGCTCGCATATTCGTATCGATATATCCGTCAGATACAAAACAATATTTAATTGCTCATTGACCGTGTGTAATTATGCTGTTGCTATTTTATGTCTTCATCAACTTTGTCGGTGAACAACTGGTATCAGCACTTCTTTTGTTTAAGAGAACATAATGTAAAATTTTCTATCATTCAGATTTAATATTAAAAAACCACTCACATCTTTGAGTTCAGCTTCCGTTACACTGGCAGGTAAAGCACGAAAAAAAATGGAAGTGGTTTTATGCAGTGGCCAGGTCCTTTTTGTATTCTGGACAGTGAACTGTTGCATACCACAGTTACCATCATTTTGAGCAGAAGCCCCATCATCCAATAAACCAGGACCAGTTGCAACTTTGGTGTCGGATGTGGTACCCAGAAGAACAGATGATACAGAAGGGCTCAAACCACCTTCCGTAGGCACAACACCATCAGGAGCTTCTGCGGTTGTGGGTGTTGGGACATCATCCTCATCATCTTTTGGCGAGGATAAATCGGAACGACCATCGGATTGCGCTGAATTTTCATTACCATCTGAGAAATTCAAGGCAGCACAATAAAAGTAAACCGTCAGTTTATCCATCAATATTTCTGGTATGCTTTAGGGAGAAACAAAAATCAGGAAGTTTTCCTTCATAGAGATAAAAGAATTCAGTTCACGAGGGATGGATGGTTGACTTGATAGACACACTGTGAGGAAAACGATATCTCAAAGCATTGAAAGAAGATAGAGTGACACGTCATCAAGCTAGACTTGGTCTGTAAATGTACGCGTAAGTAGGAAACAGACGAGACAAGGTTTCAGTTGTAAATGTATTCCGGTTATAATGCTATCGGTTTTCATCAAACCTCATCGTGAGCGAAATGTTCGAGTGTGTGTAGGTGTGAATATGGTTTGTGGTGTGGAGAGTAAAAACGTTTCTGCGCAGAAGTCATGGAACAGATGTTTTATGGCAAGCAACAGTGAGTGCAATCGGCGTTTGGATCGATTTCGATGTACTAGAGATGCTCCGAAATGCTTGGTAGTTGCCTACGAGGTGTTCTAAAAAGATTGCTCTTGAATTACTTCATCAATACAGAAAGAAAAATATCGGTGTCTTTTAATCTCTTCAATCGCTGACGGAAAACAAACATGCATATATACGGCACACTGGGTCTATCAATCATGGTAAAGAAGTGTGAACAGGTAAATAAGGATCACCAAGTACAGATTTAGGTCAACTGCGTGAATACGGATAGTGAAAATAGTAAACTGGGTCATGAGAAAAAGTGGCGAGATAACAGGCTCAAAAAGGAAAGTTGCATATTTCGATCCAGCAACAACTGAGCTATTAAGATAAATGATCTAAAATTCGCGTCTTTAGTTATAAAATCGTAGGAAAATTGGTCCACAGCATTCAGGGAGCCCATTCCTTCAATTACAGTATACCTTCGGTGATAATTTTGTCAAAAATTGGACACCTCCGTCGAGGAAAAGCACTCGGGAACTTGTTCTAACCACCAGAATCGGATTAACAACAATCGAAGAGATGTAATCTGCTAACCCGATCTCCATGAACGGTACTCAGACTTCGGCATCCGCAACGCTGTGATTCTAATGAGTTAGAAATAGGTTATTTGTTGGGAAATCGAGATACGCAAGGCCTAGAGATCCGCTGCATTAATTTTACTATTTCACAACGGCTTGAGAACAAGTATGGAGCCAACAAGACAACAATGAAAATACGAATCGTAAGATAAGGTATACATAAAGAAATGAAAATGTGGAGAAACATAATGGAGAACAGGGATAAATGAATAATTTTGCTTAGTTCCACCATACATATCCGCACATTTTGAAGTTCGCTGTTGGTGTACGAAACTAAAATTCAATTTCCAGGTGAATGACACCACACGAAAGCATTTCGCAGTGGTCGATCTTCTGTGTCAAGCGAAAGGTAACAACAAAGGATAACTCGATGTTTGAACAAGGATTGCTTGGCAACTTCATCGTTCTTAAAAATGTCTCTGTGTTCAGAATTTAGAGTGAGACGAATGTTAAACAACTGTGGTCTGATGCATGAGTCATAAAGAATCACTTAACATAATGACCCTCGTCGGAAGGGGTACATCGAGCGTGCTATGCAGTGGCACCATTGATGCGGAGCACAATGTGGTGGTACTGTGTGGAGTTAGGAATCTAGGACCCGCCTACAACTCTTAAATGGAAGAATGAGTCTAATGCTTTGGACATGGATGAGCGCATCCACATTTTTAAGGCTCCGTGACAGGCTAAATACTACCCCCACCAAGAAACGTAGATCAACAACATTCAACCATTCAAAACGCAAAGCATTCAGCCAGTTTGCACAGTTGTGGCCTAATTCAGTCTCCTCCGATTCTCTGAGACTTTTTGACACGCGTCGGGCAATCTCGGCTGACAGCAAGTATGGTGAACAGCGCCTCTCTCTGAAGCGTGAACTCACAAAGAATTTGAGAGACGATCGAGAGGACTGGTGGACGCTACGTGCAAAGGAGATGGAATCAGCGACTAGGTGTGGAAAAACCCGGCAACTATACCCCAGCTCATCCTTGCTGAAGTCCCCAAAAGTTAGTGAAACAATCTGCGAAGCAGACGGCACGCTAATAAATTCTTCAAGGACGCTTGGGACGCTGGGCATAGCACTTCACATCGCAGTTCAACAAGCCGCCCGCGATGGCTGCCCCAAGCAGTTCTCTTGAGAGTGCACCCCGGCCCACAGAAGCAGTGATCCGAAGGGAACTCCAAGCCCTGAAACGACAAAAGGCCGGTGGAACAGACGACCTGCCACCTGATCAACTCCCTCAACTACAAGTGGTCCACCAACCGGGTTATAGCCCCGGATGTCGGCTATTCGTTTTCTCACTTTGGTGGGAAAACACCTCCATTTCGAGAAGATAGTGAGTAGGGCCTTCTCAACAGAGGCTATTTGAGACACTTAGTCGAATGGCAGCGTTTCGAGAGGTGCCAGGGAAGGGTGGCCAGCCGCAACCCTAGACAACCACCCTCGACCATACTGAGGTTTTCGGACGGGACGGGGGTAAACGAAAAGTTTGGGAACTCAAAACTTCATACAATTCAGTTTCAGTTTGCACAACCATCAACTATGCACTAGCGTGCAAATGAGTGGTTGCAAACCAGAGGGAGAAACCTTTCATGTTTTTCCTAAGGTACGTAACAAATTGGTTGCTATCATTGACGACGAATAGCTTTCAAAATCTCTCCTCATTTTTTCCATGTAAGCCTCTTAGTAGTGAGGTATCTGGATAGTATCTAATTCTTTGTTGCCATTCCAGGTGATCATTAAAAAATATGTGCTTCTTACCCCAGGTGGACTGGCTTCTCGTACTTTTATCGAGTATATTTTCGATGACAAGTTCACAAAATTTCAGGAATTGCAATTGTCTTAAATCATAAGGATAGATAGTCCAGAAGAGAAAGAAATATCAAATTCCAGCTCCACAAGACACGGTAATACAGCATTGGAAATTTCCTGGCGAGGAACGATGCAACGTCCAAATTTACCGCAGGTGACTCCATACCTTTAGCAACGCCAGATTTGTCATCTTGGGTAGCGGCTGTATGCGATTGATCATTGACGCTATGCTCCGCACTCTCGTCATCAACAGCAGCTGGAGTTGGACTGTTATAACGGTCGCCAGGAGAGTGAACAGACCCATTTGAAGACCTCCTGTGACGCCAACCGTTCGGCTTTTCTGACGCTACGCCAGGAGACGGACTTTTGGCCGCTTTACAAGTCGCAGAGCGTGTCTCGTCCTTGTCTGACTCATCACCATCCAAGTCTGTTTCCGCTTCTCCTTCTTCGCTTTTATGACCAGCATCTGCATTCGATACCTGCACGAAAGGAAGTAGCGGAAGGCAAATACACAAATTGTATTCTGGCGTTACAGGTATTCAACAACCTTCGCACAGCGAAATACAGTGAACCGAACTTCACTGATCCTTGTCAAACTCACAATGCATATAAGGTTAGTGGTAAAGTCTACAGTAGACAGGGATTTGAACTATTTTGAGAGGGGGAAGAATGTGAATCTCTATTGTCAACACAGTGTACAATCGAACTCTGCATACATGCCGTTTCAAGCATTCTGACCAGATAACGACAACAAGAACACCACTGCTACCGGTTCGCTGCATATCCTCCAATGTCTCCAACCAACCAGCTGCAGTCTTTGGGACCTCAACCCAGAAGACACGTGACACCTACTCTACCTAATGGCTGTGCATTTCTTCACGCTTCGTCTCCACGTGATCTGTTGACCTCCACGTGGTTTCCTTCAGTTCCGATTAGCTACAGCGAATAAAGCGCAGTGCGGCAGACGACAGTTGGGCATAGGCAATACGTGTCCTAGCCAGCGAAGCCTACTAATCTGGATTCCATACTCTAGCAGGTTTATCCCTGATAAACTCCTAAACACGACGACTTACCACTACATTACGAATCCGTTCGCTCCACCCTATATGGGCTAAACTACGTAAACACCGATAATCGAAAACTTCTGCTGCTCGCAAATTCAAAGCCTCACAACCATAAAGCAGAACTGAACGAACGCGAGCACGATATACACGACCTTTCAACTTCAATGAAACGTCGTGTCTACACCAAAGGTGTTTCAGTCTTGCGTATGCTGCTCGAGCCTTGGAAATGCGTGCGGTTCTCTTTTGCTGTGCTTTCGTCATTGGTCATGCAACTACCTTAGTAAGAAAAGCGATCCACCATAATTGGCCATTTAGTTTCAGAGCGGGAGTGGGCGATACCCAGTCCTGCAGCATCATTTTCGCACTCGGAAGGTGCAAAGCACATACTGAATGTGGCAACCGCACCTGTTAGTCTATCAAATGAGCTTTGTGCGTCCTCTGTGCATTCGAACAGATAGACGATGTCATCGGCGTACTCCAAACCGCAGTTTTTCTTCAGTTGCCCATTCAATGCATACGTTTTGGAGTCCACTTAGTGCGTTCTCCAGTATTTTGTCTACGACGGAGTTGAACAGGAACGGCGAAAGAGGGCACCCTTGACGAGAGCCGCTGCTGGCGACGAACGGTCTAATTAGTTCGCGGTAAACCCTTACACGATCAGAGGTATGTGAGTACATTGACCTCAGTAGGTTAACGTACTTCTCGAGCATTCCTTTTCGAAGAAGGGAACCCATCAGAGCCTCGCGGTCAACTGAGTCGAACGCTCCTTTCGAGTCAAGAAACATTGCGATCGTTGGTCGACGGTGAGTGTGATGCAGCTAAAGGACCTGTCGCAACGTAAAAATTTGATCAATACATCCACGGCCAGGCCGTCCTGCTGTTCACGGATGTCGATCTCTCTGAAAGGAGTCAGTCGTCGAAGTATGACCGAGGCGTTACTGGTTTGATTTTATCATTCACCTCACGACGAAATTCTTCACACAAGAAAATACCCTGACTGTCTTTGTTTCCTGCCTTATATCTGTGACCAGCGGGCCGTATTCGACCTCAATCATAGCAAGAAAAGCGAGACGTGGAAGAAACAAGCGCCAATGAAATGAAAAGTACGTCAAAACACACGCCCGAATACCATAAATAGACATAAGCGTTTGAACTCAGTTTCAACCAAGAATATCTTCTATCCATGTCTACGGCGTTCTTTAGCACGCATTCAATACACCGGCAAACGACATGCATTAATTATGGATTGAAAAAGCTAAGCAATAATCGTGTGTTATACTTCACATTGGGACAAACGTGGTGCTAATGCAACAATGACAATACGAACCGTAGGATAAGGTATAGATCAGCGAAATGAAATATAGAAAAACAACAATTTATTGTTTTACCGTACACATTTTAATATTTTTGCCTCTCCTGAGGAGCGGAGTGTCACCAATATTATTATATTTCACACTTGTCTGAGGACAGACTGTGTGCCAGGCAAATCATGGTAAAATAACCTTTAAAAAAAAGAAAAGCGTTTCATGATTGACTTGTAGTGCCAGGTTGCGCAGGCCAAGGCAGGTGAATTTTCTTGAGGAATTCACAACCGGAGCCTTCAGCTAGCCAAAGCCTGACCCGCAAAGCAACGGGGCGGTGTA